AATTTTATGGATAGGTACCACATACCAAAATTAAATCAAGACCAGATAAACCATTTAAATAGACCAATAACCCCTAAAGAAATAGAAACAGTCATCAAAAGTCTCCCAACAAAAAAAAAGCCCAGGACCAGATGGTTTCAGTGCAGAATTCTACTAGACTTTCAAAGAAGAACTAATACCAATACTCTTCAAATTGTTCCACACAATAGAAACAGAAGGAACACTACCAAATTGTGTAAGGCTACAATTACCCTGATGCCGAAACCACACAAAGATGCAACAAAGAAAGAGAATTACAGACCAATCTCCCTCATGAACATTGATGCAAAAATACTCAACAAAATATTGGCAAACCAAATCCAAGAATACATCAAAAAATTATCCTTCATGACCAAGTAGGTTTCATCCCAGGGATGCAAGGATGGTTCAACATACGAAACTCTGTCAATGTAATACACCATATAAACAAACTGAAAGAAAAAAACCACATGATCATCTCATTAGATGCTGAAAAAGCCTTTGACAAAATCCAACACCCCTTAATGATAAAGAGAGATCAGGAATACAAGGAACATCCCTAAACATAATAAAGACAATTTACAGCAAGCCAACAGCCACCATCAAATTAAACGGAGAGAAACTCAAAGCAATTCCACTAAAATCAGGAACAAGACAAGGCTGTCCACTCTCCCCATATTTATTCAATATAGTACTAGAAGTTCTATCTAGAGCAATAAGACAACAAAAGGAGATCAAAGGGATACAAATTGGAAAGGAAGAAGTCAAACTTTCACTATTTGCAGATGATATGATAGTATACATAAGTGACCCCAAAAATTCTACCAAGGAACTCCTACAGCTGATAAACTCCTTCAGTAAAGAGGCAGGATACAAGATCAACTAAAAAAAAAAAATCAATAGCTCTCCTATACACAAATGATAAAAGGACTGAGAAAGAAGTCAGAGAAACATCACCCTTTACAATAGCCACAAATAATATAAAATACCTTGGGATAACACTAACTAAACAAGTGAAGGACCTTTTTGATAAGAACTTTAAATCTCTAAAGAAAGAAATTGAAGAAGATATCAGAAAATAGAAAGATATCCCATGCTCATGGATAGGTAGGATTAACATAGTAAAAATGGCAATCTTACCAAAAGCAATCTACAGATTCAATGCAATCCCCATCAAAATCCCAACACAATTCTTCACAGACTTGGAAAGAAAAATACTCAACTTCATATGGAAAAACAAAAGACCAAGGGTAGCTAAAAGAAACTTGTATGATAAAGCAGCCTCTGGAGGCATCACCATCCCTGACCTCAAGCTCTACTATAGAGCTATAGTAATAAAAACAGCTTGGTACTGGTATAAAAACCGACATATGGACAGATGGAATCGAATTGAAGACCATGACATTAATCCATGCAATGTGAACACCTGATTTTTGACAAAGAAGCCAAAACTATACAATGGAAAAAAGAAAGTATCTTCAACAAATGGTGCTGGCATAACTGGATATGTCAATATGTAAAAGATTACAAACAGATCCATATCTGTCACCATGTACAAAACTCAAATCCAAGTGGATCAAAGACCTCAACATAAATCCAGTTACACTAAACTTAATAGAAGAGAAAGTAGGAAGTACTCTTGAACGCATTGGCACAAGAGATCACTTTCTAAGTATAACACCAGCAGCACAGACACTGAGAACAACTATTAATAAATGGGATCTCTTGAAACTGAGAAGCTTTTGCAGGGCAAAAGACATGGTCAATAAGACAAAAAGACAGCCTACAGAATGGGAAAAGATCTTCACCAACCCCACATCTGACAGCGGATTGGTCTCCAAAGTATATAAAGAACTCAAGAAACTAGACATCAAAATACTGAACAATCCAATTAAAAAATGGGCTAAAGAGCGAAACAGAGAATTCACGAAACAAGAACCACAAATGGCTGAAAGACACTTAAAGAAATGCTCAACATCCTTAGTCATCAGAGAAATGCAAATCAAAACGACTCTGAGATACCACCTTACACCTGTCAGAATGGCTATGATCAAAAGCACTAATGACAGTCAATGTTGGAGAGGATGAGGAGCAAAGGGAACCCTCCTCCACTGTTGGTGGGAATGTAAGCTTGTACAACCACTGTGGAAATCAGTATGGCAGTTTCTCAGAAAATTAGGAATCGATCTACCTCAAGACCCAGTCATACCACTCTTGGGCATATACCCAAGGAATGTTGATTCATACCACAAAGATTCATGCTCATCTATGTTCATAGCAGCACTATTTGTAATAGTGAGAACCTGGAAACCACCTAGATTCCCGTCAACTGAAGAATGGATTAAGAAAATATGGTACATATACACAATGGTGTACTACTCAGCAGAGAAAAACAATGAAAGCATAAAATTTGGAGGCAAATGGATGGAATTAGAAAATATCATCCTGAGTGAGGTAACCCAAACCCAGAAGAACAAACATGGTATGTACTCACTCATAAGTGGATTCTAGATATAAAGAACAATCAGACTACAACCCACAGAACCATGGAGGCTATATGGCAGGGGGGACCCTAGGATGACTATGGCTTATAATAAGTTTTGGTTTTACTCAATTACTGAGCAAACCTCAATGAAACATTTCACTATTAAGATATAAGAATTTATACTATATCAAGCTGATAATAGAAAATTTAATTAATTAATTTAAAAATATAAAAAATAAAAATAAAAATAAAAAATAAAAGAAAAATTTAAACTATTAAAAACAAACATATTTTGCTAAAGTAAAAAGGGGGAGTTGCCGGGCGGTTGTGGCGCACGCCTTTAATCCCAGCACTCGGGAGGCAGAGTCAGGCGGATCTCTGTGAGTTCGAGGCCAGCCTGGTCTACAGAGAGTTCCAGGAAAGGCGCAAAGCTACACAGAGAAACCCTGTCTCGAAAAACAACAACAAAAAAAAAGGGGGGGGGAGCTAGGGACTCATCATTCCTCTCCACATTCTATTCTTTCCCTTGTTTTATATATTTTAAATTTTTTATCCGTGGATTCTGCTTGAGTATCTGCTGCAAATCAGCTCCTGTTGCGAATCACCCTCTGGAGTGATGGAAGGATCTTTCTACTGGCACTTGGAGGAGACCCGATCTGGTATTGGTGTGGGCCCGGGGTTCTGTTTATGTCGTTCCTCAGGACAATGAGGTTCCTCTTTGGATTCCTGAGCGCTGAGTGCACCCTGTGGCTAGTGCTGAAGCCCAACATGACAGAGACTTATTGGGCCTCGTGAAAAACTCTCCCCTTCTGATGGGGATTGAGAGCACAATATGGCCAACTTTGGCAAGCATTAACGTAAGCCTAGGAACTGTAACCATGCGGTTGGATTCTCCAGAAGGTAGTGTATGGTAACTGCTTTTTCAAGTATGTTTGAGAACGTGTCACCCAGACACCTTGGAGATTAAGGATTAAGTGACCCTGAAGGTCACTGACCTCTATTTGTTAACAGTTGCATACCAGCTAAGCCTTTTCATTTTCAAAATCCTCTTCAAGCTGGTGTAATACATACTTTTCAGGAGTGGCTCTGTGGACCATTTATTGGCCTCCTGAAATTCATTTAGCCCCCTTTAAAGATACCTTAATATTTATCATCCTAGCCGGGCGTTGGTGGCACACACATTTAATCCCAGCACTTGGGAGGCAGAGGATCTCTGTGAGTTCGAGGCTAGCCTGGGCTACCAAGTGAGCTCCAGGAAAAGCGCAAAACTACACAGAGAAACCCTGTTTTGAAAAACCCCAAAAAAAAAAAAAATTATCAGCCTAAATGTAGCCATTATAAGACCATTAGTTATGCTCCTTGTGAGCTGCCTGTTTTTTTCTTTATGGTTCTTAGTTGTTCTTTTGCAGAGCTGCCTGATTAAGTTGTGCTGGGATCAAGAAAAATGGGCCTTGGCGGTTCGTGTTCCTGGAGTTGTATTCATATCAGTGGATGCCCACACACTCCAAAAGAGAATTTGACATTGCTGCTGCTGTTGTTGCTGTTATAGCAGAGGTGGCCACTGCTGCTACTGTTTCTGGGATTACCATTTCATAATTGCTTACTACAGCTAGCACAGTGGAGACCCTGGCAGCAAAAGTAGCTACCACAGTTAATTAATCTTTCATTCTATTGGGCATGATAAATTTAATTCAGTAGTTATATACATTTCGATTGGCTTTGAAAATTATAAATTTATAAACTCAAGTTCCATTTGCCTTTGGGATACCATTTTACAAGGACTCCAATTTGCAGTAAGGCTCGTTAAGGAAGGGAATGGCTCAGTTGCCTTTAGCCTACTTGCTATCGGTGGGTTAGGACTTCTCTTGGTCTTTTCTGTGTCAAACACACAGATTGCAAGCCCAGAGCCACTTTGAGATTTTTGGCAGCAGTTAATTCTGCAGCTCACACACAATTGAGCCTGTATGATAATGAGTATTCAGAGATGGGTAATGCCTGGGGGGTGCTCACCAACCTAAGACAGAGTGCCTGTGTGGCCTGGGCAGGCGTCTCCATGATGGGTAAGGTGACCTGCTGATGTTCCATGCAACCTAAGTCAGAAGCTCACTTTCTAGTAAAAGGGGAACCTGTAGGGCCCCAGGCCCCGTTTTGGGTAACTGTTGCCTTGCTTGCTGACCTTGAACTTGATATCCTCCCTTTGCTAATTCCCTCCTGGGTTTCACCCTCCAGAATGCTTAAGGGAAGTTCCTTGTCTGTGTATCCTGCATAATGGGTGTTAACAGCTTAGATGCAAGATTGTAAAACATCGGTAGTGAACTTCTGCCCTCCAGGGTTCTCCCATTGTGCTGTAAGCCTGTACACCCTCCCTCCTTCAAAAATGGCATTCAGCATTAAAAAAAAAAAAATTTTTTTTGTCAACTTAAAAAACAAACAAACAAACAAATAAATAAATAAGTAAATTCAGTCAGGTATGATGCTGCATGTCTTTAATCCCAGTACTGGGAAGGCAGATCTCTGAGTCTATATAGTGAGTTCCAGGCCAGCTAGGCTACATAGAAAGACTTTGTCTCATAAAAAAATTAATAAAAATTTAAATAAATTCAGATTCTGCCCTTGGGGCTCAATGAGGACAAGCCACTTCAGAGAGACTCTACAAAACAGGCTGAATGAAGGGTGACACAGTTCAGGGCAGGCATCTCTTGCCTTAGTCCTGGCCTCAGAGGCTGAACGATAAGGCAGGATGGGTAGAAGGCAGGGCTTGGGGAGGAACCAGCCTTGGCTCCACCCTTCCCACTTCAGAGCCATGGGGAGCCCAGGTCCTGGTGGGTCACCCCTGGTGCAAGCACCCTACACTGTTCTGCTGCTGCCACTGGAGACAAGCCGCCAGGACCCAGGGGCCCAGAACTTCTTCCTCTGGGTGAGTATTAGACCATTGAGGTCTTGGGACATCCCTTCCCCTGATCTGCCCTTGATATATTTCCACTCAGCTCTGAGGACCCATAAGCTTTCCCCGTGTCCCCTTGCCATCCAAGTCCTCAGTGGCCATCTGAACTCACACTTAGTGACCGGGTAGTGAGCCCTTTAGGAGTGATGGCCATAGCTAGGACCCTGCTGGGAGTGAGAGTTTTGACCTGTGTTTGCCTAAGCAGCTGCAGATGATGCAGGCTCTGGAGAGGGAACAGGATGCTCTGTGGCAAGGCCTGGAGCTGCTGGAGCATGGCCAAGCCTGGTTTGCAGACCACCTAAGGGAGTCACAGCGACGACAGCTGCATCTGGGGGCCCTTGGTGAGGTAGGGAGTAGCCTCCCGTGCACGGGCTGGAGGAGGGAGAAGCAGGGAGGACGTGGACCTAGGGGAGTCTGCTCTGGAGAGGGCAGGGTTAATGGGCAGGGATCATGAAGTGGAACAGCATTGGAATGACAGGATGCCCCTGTGTTCATTGTTGGGCTGGAGAAGCTGTCTGCATTCCATCCAGAGGGACTGTGCTCGCTTGATCACTCCACAGAGGGGGAGTGGCCTGGGGGTCTCTCACAGGGCAGGGATGGACAGGGATGGACAGGGAGGACCCATAAGGGACAAGAGTGGGGTGGGTGGGAGTGGGTGGCACCATGCAGTTAAGGGAACTGCAATGTTAAAGAGATGGAGGTGGAGAGGACTGGATTTTCCCACCTGTCTGGAAGGGTTCTGGGACGAGGGAATCTAGGTGAGCAGAGTGGCCTGTGTGGATCTGTTTCCCACACAATGTCACCCTCCAACCCGTCCAGGATTTCCTAATGAGCTTAGACTCAGAGGCTGACTCCCCACAGCTAACCCAGATTCAAAAGGTGAACGCTTGTTTGCGAAGTCTGGTTCAGAAGGTGAGCTTATTGTTTTTAATGTATAGACTTTGGGGAGGTGGAAGGGGTTTGGAGTCACACTGATTTAGCCTCCCCATATCCACTCACAAGGCTGGTTCCTGCATGGCCAGGGCCAGGAGAAAATGCCAAGGGCGGAGAACTTGTGGTAGCAATGGGCAAGCTGACGGGTGTGATAGATAGACCCTGGCCGCAGGGTGGGAAGCAGGTGCCAGTCTGGTTCTCTCTCTTCTAGGAGTTGTCAAAGCAGCATGAAGAAGTCACCCAGTCCACGGGAGAAGTGGCTCAGCCAGGCTACCCCCAGGGGCAGAGGGGCCCTACCCGTGTGTGAGTCCTTCCCTCCCAACACTGCTCAGTAGGAGCGCAGTTGGCGTCAGAATGCCCCCCACAGTCCCCACACACCTTATCTCATCCTGACCCAGCAGCCAGTGGCTCCAGGCTGTGGGTCAGTGAAATTCAGACATGGTATAAAGTGTACTGGAAACTCCTAAAAGTGTCCACCGCATCTTGATGTCCCTTATTCTACCCAGGACCATGTGCGAAAGCTACCTTCCTTCAATGTCTCTGGGGAAAAGGCACGACCCCTGAAACCTCCTTCAGTTTAAAGTAAAACTAAGCTAAAGAAGCTGCCCGGGAATTTAAAGTGAAAACTGCACTTGCTGGTGCCCTTGCCCTGCCCTGCCCTGCCCTGCCCTCCTGGAATAAACAGCAGCTTTCTTTTTTTTTTAAAAAAAAAAAAAAAAGCTTTTTGTTTGGCTCCTGTTCAGGTCAGGAAAAGCACCTCATGGGAATCCATCACCCCCCACCCTAGTCTCTATGGTTTGTTCGGTTGATGCTGTTTTTGAGATAAGGTCTCATAGCTCAGGCTGACCTTGAACTCAGAGCAGCTGCCCTTCTACCTCAGCCTCCCTGTCACAGGGACAACAGGAATGGCGCACCATGCCAGTCTACTCCTTTAAGAAAGATAAGGGAGCCGGGCGGTGGTGGTGCACGCCTTTAGTCCCGGCACTCAGGAGGCAGGGGCAGGCAGATTTCTGAGTTCCAGGCCAGCCTGGTCTACAGAGCAAATTCCAGGACAGCCAGGGGTACACAGAGAAACCCGGACCCCAGGGTGGGGAATAAGGGACAAGTGTGACCGAAGAAAAATCCCCTGCAGTTAGGAGGGGCGGGGCCCCGGAGCCATGTGACCACCCCACCTACAGGGCAGACTGAGCATGGTGCTGAACAGAGCCTTGTCCCTGGGGGCTGCCGTGTTACCAGGAAGAGCAACCTAGCAGGAACAGCACCCCTCCAACTGTTCCCCACCAGGCTTTGTCGACCACCCCTCCCCCAGCTCTGTCCTGAGTCACCAAAGTGGAAGAAAGCAAGGCTGGGGTGGCTGGGGGGAGCACTCGGTCGGCAGAGTGGGCAGGGGTCTCCGGCTGATCCTGCGGAGAAGAGAAGAAATGAAAGTGTGCCGAGCTTTGCCGGGGAAGAGGGAAAGTGGAAGCACCTTACCTGTGAGGACTGGGCCAGCACCAGGAGCTGGAGGAAGGCATGGGTCGGGGGCACTGGGCTGGCTCCTTGACCCACCGCGGTCACAGTCACCATCACCACACTGTCAGGGGCTGCTGAATCGGGGACCTCCAACCACAGGCGTCCCCAGGCAGACTCATTCTGTCCCAGGTGAGCCCTGCAGAGGGGACAGAAGGCTCTGGGTAGCTAAGGCAAGGGGTGGAGCCAAGCACAGGACAGGGTTGAAGACTGAGGGCCAAGAGGTTGGCGCTTGGGATGAGTCCTTGAGCCCCAGTCCCGTAGAACTGAAGGGTGGAGCTGAACCCAAGCAAAGGTGACTCACCACAGACAGGAAACTCACCTGGAGAGGTTGGAGGTGAGGGAAAAGCTAGGATTGACAGATGTCCTAAGATCAAGATCCTGGGGGCCAGAGAAGCTGGCGATGTGCAGGCTGAGAGGGGCCTTGCTGCCTGGGGCCAAGAAACCTGGCGGGCCACTGAGCTGCAGGGGAGGGCAGGTTAGAACCTCTGGTTCTAGTCTCCCCAGCCCTTGCCCTCACTTGTCCTCACCTCCAGAAGCACTGGAGCCACAGTGCAAGGCTGGGGGGCTGTCCTGCGCAGGCCCTGTCCCCCTCCATCCTGGCCCACCAGCTCCAGAGAGAAGGGTGCAGAGACAGAGAGCAGTGTGGGCGGCAGTGAGGCAGTGAGCAGGCCTCGCTCAGGGGGTCCCACAGGCTCCAAGGGCACCCGGCCCAGATGAGTGCCCTCCGGGACCCTTCGAAGGACAACATGGGAAAAATGTGGCCGGCCTTCCTCAGGGTTCTGTCTAGAGACTAGCCCCGTCACTTCCACCAGCAGCTGGGTCGGCAGACCTGAGGTGGGAGCGAAGGACAGAGAGTCGAGGAGGTGCAGGGAAAACGGAACGAACACTCTTATCTTAACTGGACGGGATCATGTGAGTGTGTCGTGTGAAGTCCACTGAGCTGGAATCTCCCATTAGTGTTCTTTACTCATCAAACAAGACACATACGTATTCATTTACACACACATCCACGTGAGGGAGCACAGGTCGGGAGGAGTCTGCACTACCTGCAACTGGCTGAGTCAGCGGGTAGAGGCCAGGGTGGGGTCCATCCTCCACGGGGATCCCGAAGTGAAAGAGGAAGTCCAGGGAAGTCTGGGCTGGCAAGGGAGGCAGTCAGACACTTTGAGAGGACCATGGTCACCATGTTCACCACACCCCTTCCCAGGAACCTTCTCTCCTTACCTCGCACTCTCACCCGGGGAGTCCCCTCAGCTGCTATCTGGATCTCCCAAGACCCTGTCTGAGGGGGGTCAGTCATGGTCACTGTCCAGAACTGTCCAAAGCGACGAGTGTGACCCAGAGGACCAATGCCTTCCTCTGGGCCCTGGGACACCCCTGGGATGGGGACAAGAGACTGTCACATGAAACGATTCTTTTCCCTGCGATCCCCTTGTCTTCCACTCTTGACTTTCCTGTCTGCCTCGAGCCCACTTTATGGCACCTTCAGGGTTCTTGATCCAGAAGCTACTGATGTCCCCCTGCATCCGGATTGTGACCTGCCGGAGCAGCCTGTCCACAGCAAACACACAAGTCTCCCCAGGGATGAAGACAAGAGGCTCCAGGGGAAGAGTCACCTGGAGATATGAGCAGGACCAAGGTGGAGAAGGAAGGAAAGCTGGACTGAGGTGGGAACAAAGGCAAGGAGGAGGGAGATGGAGACGCAGCCTCACACAGGGAGAGGGGTCCTCAGGTGACACAGTTGGAGGTCAGGGGTTCAGAGCGAGGCCGCCATTTCTTGTCCCCCTCAAAGATGATGAATGGCTGGTCATGGTGGCTCATGTTTTAATCCCAGCACTCAGAAGGCAGAGGCAGGCAGATCTCTGTGGGTTCAAGTTCAAGGCCAATCGCCAGGACTACACAGTGAGTCCAGGTTAGGCCAGCCAGGACTACACAGTGAGACCTTGTCTCAAAAACAAAACTGAAAAATGAAATTGTCTTCTCTCAGCCCTGGAGACCAAGGTGGAGGGCAGGAGGGCAGTTCGACATGAAAGGCAAGATGGACGGTGAGAAGCCATGGATCTCGGGGTGTGTGTGCGCGTGACACCTCCCTCCCTGACCTTCTGTCAGAACCCCTTCTCCTTTAGGAAGAGGCATGCAGCATCTCAGACTCCAGACCTGAGCTAAGGACATGGGCCCCTCTGGCCTCCACTCACTCACCAAACCACCAGCCACGCTCTCTCCAACGATGGCTGCCACATCCTGAATGTGCTGGTCTTTGGTGAAGATCACCTCTCCTCCTGATGCCAGGGCGATGGCTTCATAGGGTTTGAAACGCAAAGGAGACAAGACCTCTCGCCGGACTCGACCCTGAACCCTCGATGGGTCTTCAGTCACTAGGAATGTCACCTGTGGCCAAATGACAACCCAAGGCTTGGGGTATCCAAACAGCATGCGTTGTAAAGGAGGGCTCCTGGGCTCCACTTTCTCCAGAGCTGTGGGTGGGACCCCCAGGGTCCCCTCAGTGACACAGCCCTGTTGGGAGAACTGTCAACATGTTTCAAAGGTGAGTTTGGATGACACATTTCCCAGTTTTGTTTTTAATTCTGTTTTTATACTGGAATTTAGTTTTTCTTTGTGTGGTGCCAGGGGTTGAACCCAGGGCCTCAAGGTAAACACCACCAAGCTACAACCCACCTTTGCCCAGTGTACAGGGCACAAGGTCTTTGTGCTAGCAGAAAAGCACCAGGGAAACCAGGAATATTAAACACACAAGGTTGTCTCTTCAACAGAAGAGATGTATATCCACCTAGAAAGTAGGAGTGATGGCGTAATGGCCTGGTGATCTGTCCTACCCATAGGGCCTGGCCTCACCTGAAGCCCCAGACCATTGTTTATCCCACACTCTTCCTCCCTGGGCCTTTATCCTGAGCATTGTTTCTCAGTCAACAGAACCCATCCTTGTGGAAAGAAAGGTCATACGTTCTTTGCAGTTTTATTGTGATAACTGTTACCAGGAAACTTTTTCCCAAAGCTGTACTATACTTAAATATGCCTAAAGTAGACTGCCCAGGGTCAACTCAGAAGTCTGAACCAACACCGGCTGCCTTCTTGCCTCATGTAGACAGTTTCTCTGCCGGCCCTGGTGTCTGCAGAGACCCTCACAGCCCAGGTCTCTGAATGGCTTACCGGGCCCGTTGAGTATGAACCAGCATTGCTAAGGGCATGGACCCTCACTGCGGAGTACGCTGAACGTTGGGGGGACGTTACATGAGACCACCGTCTTTCCCATCTTTCGTAGCTAACACTGCTCACCCTGCAGCGCCGCTCCCGAGTCAGGGATTCTACTCGGTTGGTAAGAAAGGCATCCTTGGGGGAGGCGTCAGTGAAGACAAAGATGTCTGAGAGGGGAGGTGTGTGCAGCAGGGCCAGCTGGTAAAGAAGAAAAGGCTGCTGTTAAAAATGGTGGCAGCAGGGGAGAGCCGGGAGGGCAGAGCGCAAGGGGGCCCTGGAAGCAGGGGAGAGTCAGGGAGGGCAGAGCACAAGGGGGCCCTGGAAGCAGGGGAGAGCCAGGGAGGGCAGAGCACAAGGGGCCCTGGAAGCAGGGGAGAACCGGGAGGGCAGAGCGCAAGGGGGCCCTGGAAGCAGGGGAGAGTCAGGGAGGGCAGAGCACAAGGGGGCCCTGGAAGCAGGGGAGAGCCAGGGAGGGCAGAGCACAAGGGGCCCTGGAAGCAGGGGAGAACCGGGAGGGCAGAGCGCAAGGGGGCCCTGGAGGAGAGGGTGTCTGGCTCGGGCTCCTCCTAGTGGCAGGGCCTGGAAGGGCTGGA